TCTGATTTTTGTTGTTTTCTCATTAGGTTTTTTGTAAATATTTCTATTGTTGTTCAAGTACAGTTGTTCTTATTAGTTTTTATTGTATTTATTTGATTGCTGACACTATTACAGATGTCCCCTATTTTCCCCTCCTTTGCCCTCCTCCACCCAGACCCTGCCATCCCCTCCCTCTGGCTCTCATGTGTGTCCATGGCCTATGCATATGTTCTTCAGCTAATCCCTTCATCTTTCATCCAGTCTGCCCCCACACCCTCTGACTGCTGTCAGTCTGCTCCAAGTTTTAAAGTCTTAGTGTGTCTCCTTGACCTATATTAGCCTTGCCTTTGGAAACCCTAGCCCAAAACAACCACACAAAAAAAACCCAACAAAACCTCACTTTATACTCCTGAAGGAATGAATAGTTTCTTTTCTATTCCTTAGATCGAAAACTTTGTCCTTTGTATATTTTATGTCTATGGTAGGGAACATAACTTAACATTGTTAGTTTCATTATTTACTGTGCCTTTTATTACAGAATGGCCTATATTCTCTCACCCTTTTGCGAATGATGTAACTGCTACTTTTATTTTCTCCATATAGTTTAACCTAGCCTGCTACTTTTTGATCAAGTTTTTAGGTTTATAGCTTGTCTTTAATGATATATTATTGTGTTTATTTCTTAATCCTGAGGCTTTTACTTTTATAGGTGTTTACCCTGTTTAAATTGCTGGTACAAATGTTCTACTTCTTCTTTATTGTAATTACTCTTTGTTTTAATCTTAGTACTGTGTTTTTCTTCCCACAAAATCATAAAGTCCAAATCATAAGTTCCGAGACAGCAGAAACCATGACTGCATTATTCCATACAGGTATCCAATATTTGTTGAATAATCATTTATGCAATAATCCTATAAAATATGTTTAAAACATTGTCTTATTTAACCCACTGGAACTTAACCTAATTCTACTAATAACCTCATCATAAAAAGCATTAAAATGTTTGTTACACACACAAATACACATCACTGCCACATCCCTCTCCCTCCCCACCTTAACCTTAATGGAAATAAATTCCACTCCTTCTCACATGTCAGTCTTTAAAATAGCTTGGAATTATTTTCCTATTAAACATACTTACTATACATACTTTAAATCAACCTGTATTTAGTCATCACTCATTTTTTTCCCCAAGGCTTGCTACTATAGGGCCCATATGATTCAATTCTTGAACAGCTGTTTGGAGATGAGTTGTATCTTTCTATCTACGAAGTCCCCTAGGCTCTGGAAATCCACAGCAATCTATTTATTGTGAACACCAGCTTAGTTGGGAGATTATTTTTTCTTTAGTTCTACCCATAGTTTTATTACAAATATTTTGAGATCTAGTTGAGAGACCTGATATATTCTTACTGTTAATTCTTCAAATGTTGTCTGCCCTTCAGCTTTTGGTATTTAACCGTACTCTCTCTATGTGTGTTTTGTCTTCAAGAGTTTTAGAAATAAGTGCTTTGGTATCTATCTTTGGTGTTATGATAAGCATAGAATAAAATGCCATATACATGATTTCATATACTGCTCCTGACAACTCTGAGACCATAACATGCTGTCCATTTCTGTCAGAGGAAAGTATGGCACAGAGAGGTTAAAAGTCTTGTCCACTAGTAAGTGACTGAAACATGGAGTAGACTGACAGCTGTAAGAGGGGAGGGGGTGGAGACTGAATGAAAGAAGGTGAAGGGAGGAGCCAAAGAACATGTATGCATGACCCATGAACATGGACAACAGTGTAGGGATTGCCCAGGGATTTGGGTACAGGGGAACAAAGGGGGGAAATTGAGATGACTGTAACAGCATAAACAATAAAATATTAAGAACTGGGATTTAAAAAAAGCAGTAAGTGACTGAAATGAGATTTTAACACAGACCTACTTCCTAACGGATTCCAAAGCTGGTGTTCCCAATGCTCATGGCATGATGACTCTCTGAACTTGCTATTTGCAGTTTAAAATATTAACACTCCTAGAAGTTCCTTTATTACAGTTCGCTTTTTATTCCTTTGGCTTATCCCATTAAGAATTATTGTTTCCAAGCCCTGGCTGGTGTAGCTCAGTGGATTGACCATGGGCCTGCGAACCAGAGTACCGCGGTTTGATTCCCAGTCAGGGCACATGCCTGGGTTGCAGGCCAGTTCCCAGCAGGGGACACACCAGAGGCAACCATACATTGATGTTTCTCTCCCTCTCTCCTTCCCTTCCCCTCTAAAGATAAATAAATAAAATCCTTAAAAAAAAGAATTATTGTTTCCAGGTAAGATCTCAATGTCCCAGGCTCCAAATACATTAAAATGTTGAATTATTTTAATTTGGCCCCTTAATCATTTTATGATTTACAGTTGACCTTTTCAGTTACATTCTGCAGTTTCCTGGTTTTCTAACTACTCTCACTGCTGCATCGCAAATGCTTCCCTAGGTCATGAAGTTTAATGGCTTGGCTCTTCCACCCCTGAGAGAAAAATTCAATCATTCTCTGAATTATGAACACTTTTGGGGTATTAAACTTCAGACTGATAATGTTTTTTCCCCTAAGTTCTTACGGAGATACTTTTCTTACCACAACATTTTACATCCTTTCAATTCTAACTTATTACCACAGTGACAATAACTGTTCTGAAATATACACTCCAATAACTGTTCAGGGATATACAGTCCACTTTCATCACCATTTGGTACTTACCTCTTTCTGGCTGATTGCACTATCATAGAAGAAATTTGAGCCCAATCTGATTTTAGTGTTGATGGTGGCAGGAAAGCAATAGCTTTTATTACTGAGTAAAAATGAGGTATAATCAAATACTAAATTTATTCAGTAATATGAAGGCTTTATAGGAATACATTCATAGCTATAAAAACAACCTTTATTGGGGCATTAGTGAGCCAACTAAAGAATCTGAATATGGTCAGTAATTTAAATAAGGTCAATAATTTCAATAATAGCATTTATCAATATTAATTTCTCAATTTTGATAAATATACTGTAATTACATATGAGAATATCTTTGTGTTTAGAAAATTCACACTGAAAAGTATTTAGGAGAAAAGTTGTAGTGTCTACAACTCACTTTCAAATACTCCAAGGAAAACACTGAACTAAGATGCAAATACGCATACACACAGGTATGCATGGATATAGCAGGAAGAGAGAATGACACAGCTAATGTTGTCAAATGTTAGCATTTGGCAAATCTAGGGACAGAGAATGCAAGAATTTGTACTATTTTACCAACTTTAACCCTCACATTATGTCAAAATAAAAGTTAAAGACATCTCTAGTTTTGTTATTCCAAGTTCTAGTTTCAAACTTTTTCTTTTCCATTGAAAGAACCATTTTGATAACCCATTTTTTGTTACTATGAGATGTGTTAGGCACGCCACTACTGTGTTACAATGGTCAGGTGTAAGTTTCTGTCAGCCAGAAACAGAGCAAGTGCATTACCTCCCTCATTCTAAATCGGTATTTAACTGGGGCCATGGACCAGAACTCCTTGAGGAGCTTTTTCACAATACACATACCTATGACCTGCTCCCAGAGGTTCTAACAGTATGTCTGGGTTGGAAAAAAATGAATTTAGTACAGTACATTTTACAAAATCTCTCCCAGGTGATTCTGAAAAATATCCTTCCCCACACCAAGAATCACTATCCTAGATACAGAACCACTCATCTATTATTAAAGTTGGAGACTGAATGGCTGCGGATTTCTGGGCATTCATATCACGGCAAAGATGAATATAGAATTTGCAATCAACTCAAGCCTCTATAACTAGAAACAGAACATCACCATGGGAAGAGCACAGACTTAGGAGACAGACTTGGGTTCAAATCTCAGCTCTGCTGCTTAGTTAACCCTGTGAGTCTATTTAATCATCAGTCCAAGAGGGAAAGATTTCCAACTCACAGGTTGCCATGAGGATTACAGAAGAAAACATTCATAAACCAGTAGCATACAGTTAAATGTTCAAGAATGTTATTTTACTTTCCCCAAGTACAGTTATTTATTCTATTTCAGGAAATTCAAGTAGAAACAAATAAACAAAAATAACCACGATTCAGGGAAGGGGTAAAGATAAAAAGAGAGAAAGTAATTTTGTAGCACTATACTGATTAGAGTGGTAAGGAGGCAGGCTGAGAAATCCAACAGCTAGGATGGAATGTGTGTTAAACAGAGATTGTGAACATCAGTTTTGTAGAACTATCCTTCATACAGGAGTGTATGGGACAGTAGCATTCAGCAATCACCAAACGCCAACTTTCAATTACAAAAGATTTTATTTATTTATTTTAGAGAGGAGAGGGGAGGGAAAAAGAAAGGGTGAGAAATATCAATTGGTTGCCTTCTGCACAAACCTCAACTGGGGACCTGGCCTACAACCCAGGAATGTGCCATGACTGAGAATTGAACTGGCAACTTTTGGTTTTAGGGGACAATGCTCAACCAACTGAAGCATGCAGGCCAGGGCAAAGTTACATTTGTTTTTTATATCAGCCAATTGTAAGGCTTTAGTTAACCTTGATTTCCTAAATAGTCAAAACAGAGCGCTGAAATTTTATCTCTATTAAAAACAATCAATATGATATAAATCATCACTTTAAAAACATAACACAATAGGCCCTGGCTGGTGTAGCTCAGTGGATTGAGTGTAGGCCTATGAACCAAAATGTCGATGGTTTGATTCCCAGTCAGGGCACATGCCTGAGTGGCAGGCCAGGTCCCCAGTAGGGGGCGCTAGAGGCAACCACACATTGATGTTTCTCTCCCCCTCTTTCTCCCTCCCTCCCCCCAACCCGCATCTCTAAAAATAAATAAATAAAATCTTTAAAAAAAACCAGCACAATAAAAATAAGTACACTTGATTAAGGATAATTAGATTTTGGTTTAAAACAACCATAGCTCATGTCATACAAAAGGAAAACTACATTTATTTCTAAGAACAATAAACATTGCAACCCTGTTATACTTACCAACATGTGAAGGCCAAACAGTTATATGAGGATGGGAATGATACCAGCCCACAACTCTCATGGGGCGACCTGTTAGTTCAGCCAACCTGTGTGACTGTCAAGGAATTTTCTTCAACTGGTGGGAACAAAATCTGTGATACTAATAATGGCTCACAGAGTATCCTGAGGTTTAAAACAAACCACTTACAATATAAAGTCAATAAAACAATGAAATAAAGTTGATGCCCAGAATTTCATGTACTTCCCATTTTTTAAAAAAAAAACAAAGGTGTTACTTTTTAAAAAATGGAATCCATTTGATTTCCATTATTATATATAGTTACATGCTCTTCATACAATTTAGCTAATGTTTGATCACTCAAATACTTAATTAGTGTGCTATCTGAAGAACTTTTTTAATCCTTGGAAGTCACATTACTAACTTGAGTATTCTTCCACTCTCTCTCTAGCTCCATCCTACTCTGATTTTTGAAAAAGAAATATAAGATTTTAAAAATTCATTTGATTTCTCTCTGGCAGGCTGCCAATGTGAACAGCAGCAAGTAGGGTAGTTTCGGAGACCAAATAAACCTAGTTCAGTCTCCCCATTTGTGTGGAAATACCCCCCAAAGGAATATTTTCCTCCTTTGTTCTAGAAAGAAAATTCTACCATAATTCTGAGTCTCTAACTTGAGATAAGAAATCAACTCACACATAAGGTGTCCCTTCTGTTGCTGCTCACTGAGACTGCTGCTGCTAAAGTGTAACATGCTGGCTCAGTTCCCTACAAATTACATTAAAACATAATAATCCTTTCTATAGAACTAAGTCTGAGAAAGAATACATTTTTAAGTAATATTTTACTTTCAAATGCCAAAAGAAATCACTTCGCTGCCCTAAACCCATTTCTTCAGCTGCAGACTGGAGGGAAATCCAGCCCACACAGCAGTGAAGAGTAACTGAGGTAATCCAAGCAAGGTGTTCAGCATCATGCCTGGCACTGAGTTAAGTGTGTAGCAGCACTCATTGTCATGTTAGCACATTAACATGCAACAGTGCATCCAGCCATCCCCCTCCCATTTTGGAAATGGACTAGTTTTAGTTTAAAAGTTATAATAGATTATAACTTTATAATCTTTCTAATCTTTATAGATTATAAAGTTATAATCTGTAATAGATTACTATAGATTAATAGATCATTACTAGATGATAATCACAATAATAAATATCTTTTATACAATTATTTCCTGGGAATTTTATTTTGGCGAAGTTTTGTTTGTTTGTTTAAATACCAATGGATGCGCTTTCTGCTTGTGGCTAAAATGGAATAAAAGGAACTGGACTTACCCTCCTGCCTGAGACAAGCAAACAAACTGTATTACATGAAACAGGAAAGCCAGTAAATGGGAAACAAACAAGATGAGTGCTTGAGAAAACTGCCAGGCCACAGAGCAGAAAGGGGAATTGAGGTGAAGCTCACTGGTTCCCTTGGTTTAGGACAGTCCAGTAGGTAGAGTTAGCGAGGTAGAGGACCGCAGGGAAGAGAGTGGCAGAGGGCGAGAATGCTGCCTAACTGCAGAGGGTCCCCCTGGACTATTCCTCAGACCACCGATGGGCACAAGCGTGTGAGGACACTACCACGAGGCTGGGGGAGAACAACCTGAAGGGATGAAAGGTAACCATGCCGGGGCTCAGGCCGGACGGGGACTAGTGGGTGTCTCCACCGGCCAGGATGGTGACCCTCACAATGTGGGAGGCACACAGCAGGGCGCTCCAAAGGATTTTGTGTCGGTAGTGGGGGCGGGGAGTGACTCCCATTCTGAAAGGGCCCACACAGCAAACCTTCAGAGCCAGACTCTAAAGGGTCCAACTATTCTGGGTAACTTAACGGCATTGAAAAGAAACCTGAAAAATTATGTCTAATAGTAAGTACAAAGACATCCAGCACTCAAGAGAAAAAACATGTGTGGCATGGGACCTAAAATTACCAGGCATAGAAAGAAACAAGAAAATCCAATCCTTAATGAAGAGATGGAAAAGAGATTAGTGGTGGTAAGGGTAGGAATGTGGGGAGGGGTGGGGTAAAAAAAAACAGTCTTAAAAGATCACAGACTGTAAGACTCCATTTACCAGACATTCTTGAAATTACATTATACAGATAGAGAACAGATTAGTGACTTCCAAAAGTTGAGGTAGGGTGACTATACTGGAGGAACATGAGGAAGGTCTTTATGGCACTGGAATAGTTCTACATCGTGACTGTGATGGTGGTTACCTATATCTATATGTGTGACAAAATGGCGTAGAACAACACATTGTGTGGATGTCAATTCCCGCTTTCATATTATACTATAAATTATGTAAAACATAACCTTCAGGAGAAGGGTACAAGGTGAAGGGAACAGGGACCTTTCTATACTATCTCTGCAACTTCCAATGACTCGATATAATTATTTCAAAATAAAGAGCTTTTAAAAAGGTATATGCCACAAAAACAGATGCTACATTTGATTATATAAAAATGCAAAAACAACCTGGACAAAAACTCACATACCCTGAGTAAGATGAGAAAAAGCATTATCCTTATCACAAACAGCTAATTTTCTTAACATACAGAGTGCCTATAAATTAAGAAAAAGATTTACAAATAAATAGAGCAATGGGCAAAGGAAATAAACAGATACTTCAGAGGAAAATACAAATAACCCTTAAAAAATAAGATACAATTACAGAGTGGCAACAATCAAAAGTATGATCTACCAGGGCCTGGGTGCAAGGAAACAAAAACAAAACTTTGACGACACACAGAGCCTGTGAGTGTGCAGGGGAACAGCAATTCTGCCTCTAGGAATTGGTCCTACAGACACATGTACACGTGTGTGACATGCAGAATGTGTTAAGTACTTCGAAAAACAAGAAAATATTCATAAATGTCTATAGTCACAGAATTTATCTGTAAGGATACATGAAAACCTGATAACCCTGGTTATGTCCAGGGATGGACCATGGGGAAAACTGGAGCACAGAGTATGGAGAAAAATATTTATTTTTTCTCCTTTTAAAGTTCCTCTTAAAGTTTATACTATGCATACATACAACCTATTTTTAAAAGTTATTAACTTATCCAAAAGACTGATAAATTACTAAAACTACTGATGCAAATTTAACTTGCTATAGCTGAGGTACAAAGTCCAGATCATGGGAAGCAAATGTCCTGTTTGATCACTCTTTGGTGGTATTTAACATGAAATATTGCATTCAGTTTTCAGCATGGCATTTGTTTTGAGACAACCCCAAAAGAGAATCCTCCCAAACAACAGAGACCAAGATAGTAAAAAGCCTAGAAATTGAATGATACTAGGAAAATTGGTGGGGGGGAGAGGGGACTGAAGAGGTTTGGTGGGGAGAAGGAGGAAGGGACTCCCCACAGACCTCACTGTCATAGGATTTGACCTTGGGATCTTTTGGTGTCTAAAAGCAGGAATGTTAGAAATTGCTAATTCTTCCAATTAAAACCACTCAAAAGGAGAAGTGGGCAAAAATTCTGATTAACCAAGCAATTGGATCTAAGGGGTAAATATGAAAACTGAGAATAAGCCACCAGGAAGTGAACTTGTGAGGTCTCCTAAAGCAGACTAAGGTAACAGAGGAACCTGGCCTAGAAGCCCCATAGCACATAAAAGCTTCTTATCAACCAATTAAGGATATCTCCGCCTCCGTTGAAGCCGCAGATAGTTGCTCTGGAGAAATTTCCACCCGATCCTTCCTCTTATCAGAACGTCGCAGGATGATGACAGAATGAATGTGAACAATTCTGACGGTGTCAACCTAAAGGAAAATCCACAGAGATGTTTACTTCTGTCTCTCTCCAGTAATATCTATCCCTGAATTTACAGAATTGTATTGTATTACATCATCAGGTTAAAGATTCCATCTTAGAAAACTGACATTTTTCTCATAAATAATGGAATGTTTCAAATAAAACATATTCAACCTCAACATATATATTTCAAAACAAAAAATACTAAAGCTAATATTTAGATCAAGGAAGGACTTTTTGAATGATCAATTAATAATTATTTGACTATCGCACAAAAGAATACAAGTCAAAATGCTAACACTTTGGTTGAGCAGCAAGTATCACACCTGAAACTACACTAAAATAATGTCGTAAATTAATGCTATAGAAGCTCAGAGGGAAGGAGTCACTTAAATTAGAACAAAAATCTCCACAGAAAAGGCAGACGAATGTATGTATTTCCTGAATGCTGTGTGTGCAGATAGAATTTCTGTAAACGCTAAATGGATGCTAGTAATATGTTTGAGAGACAAGTTGGCCACCTGATTTAAATATTACTATAAAACTTTAGATGGAATGGCAGACAGCAAGGCTAAGGAAGAAGGATATAAGGTATTGATAAAAATACACAGGACGTCAAATGCCAAGCCATGATCTGCAGGATGAACTGGACAGAAGTAATAACAAAGTATCAGACTAATTGGATGGCAGAAATGGAAGAGACAGAATTGAGAGTCATTAAAAAGGAATAATCCACAAGATTTGGTAGCTTATGCACCATGGGTGATAGAGGACAGGAAATTGTCAAGGATAGCTCTTGAAGGTTGAAATGGTGAAACACGGCAGGCAGATCTAAGTTTAGCAAGGATCAGGAAGGAAGATGAGCATGTTTTCAGATGAGCTGATCTGGGATGAGAGGATGTAAATAAAAACAAGGAACAGTATGGACTTGGGGCAGAGGTCCAGGCCTAAATCAAGGGGGGTGCCCACATTTTGGATGGGGTACAATAAAAGGAGCCAGGAGGGAAGACACAGGAGTCAAAACAAGAACAATGAAATGGTTCAAAAGTTACGGGGTGGGGGAGGAGATGAGTGTGGCACTGCCAGATGTTACAGGGACATGGGTAAGATCTGAAAGGAGACTTTTAGAGTAAGCTATAGACCTATTACAGTGCAATACAGCAGCCATTATACACATATGGTTACTGAGTCTGAAATGTGGTCCCCTTTCACGCCTTTTCTACCTGGTAAATTCTTTCATAGCCTTTAAATTCCCTTCGATGAGCCATTAAATGCTCATTCTATAGAGAATTAATCATTCTCCCCACCATATGACATAATTAAATAATACCAATACACACCTTTGCTAGAGCTTATACCATGTTGGGTTCTCTTTGCTGACATAATTATTTCTTCCTCTACTAGAATGCAAAATCAAAATCCTAAGAGTAGGGAACATGTTTTAGTTATGTTTGTACCCCAGTGACCATACAGTGTCTGGGAGGCACGGAGTACACAATATAGAAAATGGGGATTCAGAAGACAGCAGCCAAGCCCTGACTGGTATAGCTCAGTGGATTGAGTGTGAGCTGTGAATCAAAGGGTCACTGGCTTGATTCCCAGTCAGGGAATATGCCTGAGTTGCAGGCCAGGTCCCCAGGGGGGGCCATGTGAGAGGCAACCACACATTGATGTTTCTCTCCCTCTCTTTCTCCCTCCCTTCCCATCTCTAAAAAATACATAAATAGAATCTTAAAAAAAGAAGAAGAAGACAGGCAAGCTAAGCCCACTTGCCTGTGCCCCTGGCATGGATTTTCAGCTGATTTTCCCACAAGTGACCAGAACATGGCATGAATTTTTGAAGCCAAGGAGTACAGAGGATGCTGTGCACCATCTGGTAAGAGATTTTAGAAGTTTGGGGGAAAATACCCTATGTGATGTATCTGCAGGAGAGAGGACAGAAAACACACCTTAGTGGCTCCCTCCCCTCCTAGAGCAGGGCCCTGGTCCCACAGAGGGAAACCACCAACCCTAATTGGGAGAGACTTGGAAGGATATACAAAGTCTGGGAGATTTGGGCTACACTCACACAGTGAGCAGCACATCCACAGCTGCAGTGCCAACTGGGAGAGCTCCAGAGAGAAAGTCTATCTCCTTAAACTGTCTGAGACACTGGCAGGCTGTGGCCAGACCTGACCAAGAGAGACTTTGCGCCTTTGGGGAGATGAAGCACATGGAGAACTGGCCCAGGGCTCAGTGCTGCAGTATAGGGGCCACACAGAGACTCTTTTAAAAGAGGAGCTGAGGCAAGACATGGCAGGAACCCTGTGCTCACGCAAGTGCATGCAGCAGCTCTACCCACAAAGAAACCAGAATGAAAGCACAGTTTGGTCCCACTGAGTCCAATTTCACAGAAAAGTGTCATGCTAAAGGGACTGGGGGACTCGATCCAGCATGGTTGGTGAGCAGGGGGCTGTACAGAGTGGAGAGTTTGGGCCTGAATCTCCTGGAAGAGTGGCAGACTGGAGCTGGACGGCCAGGAGTTGAATGCCTGAGATTCACTGGAGCCAGGCAGGCCCCTCACAGGCAGGTATGCCCAACCCGTACCTGTGGGATTGCAGACTCTGAAGATCAGTGAGGCCAGCTCAGGAGCCCCCTATTCAGCCATACCCACAGGGGAAAGGAGAAGCTCTGACCAGGTCCTTTCTGAACTTCTATCAGACACTACGAGCTATGCTGGTTCTTCGAACCCTGGTCCACTGAAACCAGCAGAACAGAGGGATTAGAGACAGGTGCGACAAGGGGTGTTCAGGACCCCACCAAGCCTCTGCTCTTATACAGAGCTGCCCTTTTTACACAGATTGGCCCCTCACAGGAAACGGACAGCTAATTCATGAGAAACTACACATTATTGGAAAATAATGCGGGACAAACCAAAACCTGTGGCAGGGGGCAGGGAAACACTCCCACCATCTTCCCTAAAGACTGAGCAGCATCCCCTAGGGGTGATCCAGGGATTCCACCCTCCTGATTGCACCAGAGGCCCCCTCTGGAGAGGGGCAGGTGGAGGCAGTACTGTCAGTGCTCCCAGACATTAGATGAACCACTCCTGGGCCTTGTGCTGATGGAAAGCCAGCAAGGCAGAACAGTGGGGACCAGCCAAGCCTGAAGAAGACAGCAACAGACTTGGAATCATTGGTAGTCTCAAACAGGGCTAGACTGGGACACCATCCGATATTACCAGGGGTGGATCCAGTGGCAAACACTGGACTCTGCTGAGATGAAGTCTTCTTCATTATTTGTGTTATTTTTCTCTCCCGCATAGCTTCTTAACATTTCTTTCTTTTTCTTCAACTTTGTTCCTATTATTTCACTATTTTTTAAATTTTAGTTTATTTCAAATCTTATATTTAGCTTCTCCCTTCTCTTACTGTTTAGCCTTCTTTCTTATTTTTGTTTTAAATTTTATTTTTCCCTTTCTACAACTTGTTTCTATTCTGCACTCTTAACATTTCTCCCCCCTGAAGACTCTCAAAATGATTTTTCTTCCCATTAGTCATCTCACATTCTTTTTCTCTTTCTTATGATACCCTTATTCTCTCTCCACCTTTATTAACCTTTGCTTATTGGTTGTTAACGTGGTGGTGGTGGTGGTTGCATTTCTTCAATTTTATTACTAGATGTTCACTGTTTTTGTATTTCAAATCTCAAATTTCACTGTTCCCCTCTCCTACTCCATTTTGCCTTCCCCCTGCCCTTTATTTTTTAAAGTCTCACCTTTTCCCTTTCATAGCCTGGTTTTCATTCCTCACTCTCATTATTTCTTCTCCCTCCATCCCCTCAAAATCACTTTTCCTTCCTTTTTTTCTTTCTTTTTTCTTCTTATTTCCTTTCCACCAGAATTAACCTTTGCTCATTTGTCATTGATATTGCTGTGATGGATGTTTTTCTTCAATTTGGTCCTATTTTTTCAGTATTTAAAAATTTTTTAAACCTCATATTATACTCTTTCCTTTTCTTCATTTTGCTTTCTCCCCTCCCCCATTTTAATTTACAATGTAAATTTCATTTTCATTCTTTTTTTTGGCTGTTTCCATTCCCTACTCTTATTATTTCTCCTCCCTCTACCTTCTCAAAATAATTTTTCTTTCCATTACTCATCTCATATTCATTTTTCCTTCCCACAATAGTCTTAATCTCTTTCCGCATTTATTAATATTTGCTCATTTGTTGTTGATAGTGGAGCTGTGTGTAAGGGATATCTTTCTGGATGTGGGTTTGTTCCCTGGGCTCTGTGGTTTTGTTCTGGCAGCACCTGCACAATGCCATACAAGTCGTGGTGGGCAGAGTGACCCTCAGTCAGCCAGCTGGAGGGAAGAACCCACCAAAGAATGGCCCAACAACAACTCAATTACAATACCCAATTACAAAACCCAATTACAATAAGACAGCCCACATTAATGGCATAAATGGCATCCCAAGAGCATTTAGCTCAAGAGATCAAGGAGACTGCACCACTGAGTCTTACAGGTCTCCTACCACAGATGGCCACTCCATGAAGACAGGGAGTGAAAGCAGATCAATCTAATATGCAGAACCAAACAAAAAGTCACCTAAAATGAGGGGGAATAAAAACAACCCCCAATTGAAAGGAAGGGAGGAATCCCCAGAAAGAGTGCTAAGTGAAGTTGAGGCAAGCAATCTTTCAGACATAGACTTCAAAATAATGGTTATAAGGATGCTCAAGAGAACTACAAGGAACTCTATGGAAGCTACGAGAACTTACTGGGAACTACATCACCATGAAAAAGGGCATAGAAACTATGAATAAGAGCCAGGAGGAAACAAAGAATACCATATCTGAAATGAAGAATACACTCGAAGGGATTAAAAGCAGGTTAGATGAAGCAGAGGACTGAATCAGTGAGTTGGACAAGGTAGCAAAAAAAAAAAAATCCAGACAGAGGAACAAAACAAAAAAAGACTCAAAAAGAACAAAGATAGTTTAAGGGAGGTGTAGGACAACATG